GTAGTCGAGCACAAACTGCTTGCACCACCCAGAGACCTAAACACACTCACACACACACCCATTGACATTTACACATACATACACACACTCACGTGCACACACACACACACACATCTGAGGTGGAATTGGCTTCTGGGTGCCTGTTCTCCACATGAGTGAAGGCTTCATCTGACCATTTGAAATCTGAAAAGAATGGAAAGTTAGAAGCAACCCTGGACATTGGAACAGAATTCACACTTCGTGAGGTGTGCAGGGACCCCGTTAGCGTGTCAGAAGCCCACACATGCCATTGGCTCTCGAGCTCAGTGACTCACAGTTTGCTGAGAGTCGTTGGTGTGAAAGGACTGTCCAGGCATCTGGTGACCACAGATCATTTGGCTGCTGAGCTGCTGCTCATACAGCAATATGCTGAAATGGTGCAGAATTCCATTCTGGACTCAGAGCTACGTATCCTGGACGCCTCTTTCCCCTCACTCCCACATCCACCCACTACATCCTCTCAGCTTTACCTGCTAAATATCACTCCCTCCCACATCCTTCTTTCCACCTCCACTTCCTCCAGCCTGGGCTAAGCCACCATCATCCTTTGGCTAAACGATGCACAACATCCTCCCTGCACCCTCCCTGGCTCCCCTCCAATCTCTTCTCTGCAGAGCAGCCAGAGCGATCACTTCTAAGTGCAAAGCTGATCACTCAGCTCCTCTGCTTAACCCACACATGGTTTCCACTGAGGCTGTGTTAGCACCAAAGCCTTAACTCATCCCCTAAGGTGCTGTTTGATTTGCCTCTGCCCACCTGTCACTCTTATCCAGCATCCTCTCTCCCTCCCTCCCTCCCTCTGTGCAATTCAGGTATACTGCCATTTTTAAAAAAATTGATTTCTTCAAATATGCCCTGCTCCATCCTACCTCAGGGCTTTTGCACAGCCATTTCCGCTGACTTTCCTTATGGTTAACACTTATGCATCCTTCAGACCTCAGCTAGAATGCCACCTCCTCCAGGAGGCCTTCCCCATCCCCTGCTGCTGCTGTTGCTAGTTGCCGTTGAGGCAGCACCAACTCGTGGCGATCCCAGGTATAACGGAAGGAAACATTGCCCAGTCCTGTGCCATCCTCACAATTGTTGGTATGTTTGAGCCCATTGTTGCAGCCACCATGTCAATCTATCTCATAGAGGGGCTCCCTCTTTGTCCCTGAGCCTCTACTCTACAAAATATGATGTCTTTTTCTAGCAATTGGTTTTTCCTGATGACGTGTCCAAAGTAAGCAAGAAAAAGCCTCACCGTCCTCACTTTTAAGGAGCATTCTGGCTGTACTTCCAAGCTGGATTTGTTCATTCGTCTGGCAGTCCACAGTATATTCAATATTTTTTGCCAACTTCACAATTCAAATGTGTCAATTCTCTTTTGAGCCTTCTTTTTCATTGTTTAGCTTTCACGTGCTTGTGAGATGATTGAAAAGACCATGACTTGGGTCAGGTGCATCTCAGTCATCAAAACGACATCTTGGCTTTTTTTTAACGCTTTGTTGTTTTTGCTAGATACTGTCAAGTCAATTTTTACTCATAGCGACCGATGTGACAGAGTAGAATGACCCCCATAGGGTTTTCTAGGCTGTAATCTTTATAGGAGCAGATTGCCAGGTCTTTCTCCCATGGAGTCGCTGGGTGAGTTTGAACCGCTAACCTTTTGGTTAGCAGCTGAGCGCTTAGCCATTGCACCACCAGGACTCTTTTTTAAAACACTTTAAAGATGTCTTTTGCAACAGACTTCCCCAATGCATTACATCATTTTATTTTTTGACTGCTGCTTTAGTGGACATTGATTGTTGATCTAAGTAGAATGAAATCCTTAACAACTTCAATTTCTTCACCATTTATCATAATGTTTATTGGTCCGGTTGTGAGGATTTTTGTTTGTTTATGTTGCGGTGTAATCCATATTGAAGGTTGTGGGCTTTGAGCTTCATCAGTAAGTGCTTCAAGTCCTTTTCACTTTCAGCAAGCAAGGGTGTGTCATCTGCATAACGCAGGTTAGTAATGAATCTTCCTTCAATCCTGATGCCACATCCTCCGCAAGACTGGGTTAAGTCTCCTGGGGCCACAGGTGGTGTTTTCCATAAGTGGTCACAGCAGTGTTTCCCATCGCACGTGCTATTCCAAAACCTAGCCCCTCGCTAAGTTCTGGAGTTCACTTTCCCTCCTCTTGAACCAGAGAAGGACTCTGTAACTGCCTTTATGGAAATAATGCAATGGAAGTGACTGTGATTTCTGAGGCTAGGTCATAAAAGGCAATATGAATTCTACCTGGCTCTCTGTCTTTGCATGCTTGTTCTTGGAACCCAGTCACCATATTGGGAGGAAGCTCAAGCTGCATGGAGAGGTCACATGTCAGAGTTCCAGGCAACAGCCCCAGCTAAGGTCTCAGCCTAGAGCTCACATCTGAGTATGCAAACCTGCAGATGGGTCCACCTGCCAGCCTCCAGCCACCCCAGCTGACATCAAGGGGAGCAGGGATAAGCCATCCCTGCCAAGCCTGCCCAAATTGAAGGTTGGTGAGTAAAATAAATGCTGTTGTCATTGTTAAGCTTCTAAGTCTTGGGTCCATCACCCATCTGTCAGTTTGTTATACTGTGGTGGCTTGCAAGTTGCTACTGCACTGGAAGCTATGCCACCAGTATTTCAGATATCAGCAGAGTCACCCATGGTGTAGAGGTTTCAGTGTAGTTTCCAGACTAAAATAGACTAGGAGGAAAGGCCTGGCAATCTACTACCAAAAATTAGCCAATGAAAGCCCTATGGAACACAACAGAATATTGTCCAGTATATTGCTGGAAGATGAGCCCAAACATACTAACAATTATGAAGATAGCACAGGACTTAGCAACATTTTGTTCTGTTATAATAAGATCACCATGGGTTGGAGCAACTAACAAACAACAAGTCTTAGGGTGGTTTGTTATGCAGCCATAGTAACTGCCACACACTGTTACACTTGTACCTTGTCTTTGAAGCATTTGCTACAAATTGAAACTTCATGTTTGTTTTTGTGATTATCTGATTTATATCTACCTATCCTGAAAGACAGGAAGCTCTGTGAGGGCAAGAATCAAGTTAGTTTTTGTTCACTATTATTGGGTATAGGGACTTCCAACTCTCATCCTGACCACCTAATCAGGGTCCTTGGGCCTGGAACATTCCCTGGTAGTGAGGTTGGGAACTGAGCCTCTCCCTCTGTCTCAATTTCTTCTTCTTAACCAGGGAAACTCCTTCCCTGTTCTGGGTACCCAGTATGCTTACTACTTAAGTGTATGTGTCGTATGGCATCTGGCCAACCCCACTTTTATATTTGTTCCCAGCAGGAAGGATGCATGCAGACCATCATCCCTATATCTGTTGCTACAGGAAGTGATCCATGGCCGTGGGGACTGATGCCCTCTATTGAAGCTGACCTTCCTCTGTCTCTTCTCTATGTGAGTAAAGTGTTGTTCCACCCAATGCCTGTGTGTGAGTCATATCTTTCTTGGTGACTTCAGACCTTGTTTTGACAGCTATTCTGTTCCTGAAAACCTAACACAGTGTCCAGAAAATGATGTATGCACCACCTATTTATTCTCAGCTTTTCTGCACCACTTTATGTACTAAAAGAAAAATAGCACTTGGTCATTAACTGAATATTCATTCATTCAGTAAATGCTCATTGATGAAACTCTGTTTCAGGCATTTGTGTTAGAGACAAAGCACAAAATGAAGATGATGTACAAGGGGCTGTGGGAGGCCAAAGGAGGGGTCAGAGGAAGCTTCCTGAGAGAGGGGACATTTGAGATGTGTTTTGAAGGAGGTATAGGAGTTTTCTGGGTGACAAAGACACAAAACATGACTCCTGGCAAAGGGAATGATGTGTGCTGATGTATGGGGCCAGGAAGCAACCTGGCTTGTCAGAGAATGGTGGGAAGTTCTTCACTCATAAAGGGCAGTTTGCTTGGGTGGAAAATCCTGCAAAAAAAAGTTGGTAGGGGCCAGATTCTGATGATGTTAGGTGTAAGTGCTTCGATTTCATCTCATGAAAAATAGGAAGACCTCGCAGGTTTGGAAGCCATAGTGGAAGGATCTTGGTTCTTGATAGAGATGGGGCTGGGAAAACTGATGAGAAGGCTTCTGAACTGGTCCAGAGGAAGGTGACAGGGTCAGAATAAGGGAAATGAGGATAGTAGAAGTGGGACTAAGCTTAGGCCTATTTAGCAAAAATTCACTGCACAGGGCCTTTTATTTGGGTGCTGCATGTCTTTATCTCACTGTCACACCAACCCTATAAAGCTGTTGTTAGTTGCTGTCTAGTCAGCCCCAACTCATGGTGACCCCATGCGTGCAGAGTAGAACTGCTCCATAGGGTTTCAAGGCTGTGACCTTTCAGAAGCAGATCACCAGGCCTTTCTTCCGAGACGCCTCTGGGTCGGTTTGAACCTCCAGCGTTTGGGCTGGTAGTCCAACACTTAACCATTTGCATCACCCAAGGGTTAGCAAACTTTTTCCATAAAGGGACAGATGTTAAATATTTCAGACTCTACAGGTCTTAGGGTTTTTGTCGCAGCTACTCAACTCTGCCGTTGTAGTCACATATGATAGGTAAATGAATGGGCATGGTAGTGTTCCAACAAAACTTTATTAGTGTGGATGCTAACATTTTAATTTCATAGAATTTTCACGTGTCATAAAGTACACTTCTTCTTTGGATTTTCTCCCCAACTATTTAAAAATGTAAAAACCATTCTTAGTTTGAGGGCCGTACAAAACAGATGCTGGGTTTCGGTTTGCCCACCCCAGTTGGAAAGCATTATTCCAAGTTTGGGGATACGAAGCTGAGATTCCCCAGCGAGAGTCCCGCCCCTCCTCCCGGCCCCGCCTTTCCGGACATCACTAGCCCTCGCCCCGGGGCGGAGCGTGCGCATGCGCGGCCAGCGCTTGGGCTGGGGGCGGGGCGGGCCGCGGCTCCGACTTCCAACATGGCGCACACTGCTGGTGGTGGCGGCGGCAGCGGCCCCCCCGCGGGCCGGGGGCTGAGCGGCGCCCGCTGGGGCCGTTCGGGCTCCGCGGGCCACGAGAAGCTGCCGGTGCACGTGAGTGGCGCCCACCCTCCCTCGGGGACCCCGTCCTCCGGCCCCCGCAGGCCGGCGCCCCTCACCCCGGCCCCGCCCGGCCCTGGCCCCCGCCCCTTCTTGGTCTCGCCTCCGCGGCCCCGAACCCAGGACCCCCGACCCGTCACCTCGGCCCCGCGCGGGTCCGGCCTGCCCCTCTCCCGTCAGGGACCCCCGACCTCTGTCCCCTTCCTCCGCTAACCCCGGGACCCTCCCCCTCCCCGCAGGTGGAGGACGCCCTCACTTACCTGGACCAGGTGAAGATCCGCTTCGGCAGCGACCCTGCCACGTACAACGGTTTTCTGGAGATCATGAAGGAGTTCAAAAGCCAGAGGTACCCGCGGGGCACCTCCCCACCCCCGGGGGCCGCCCTGGGACCGAACCGGGCTGATCGGGGTGAAAGACCCCGTCCCAGCTGCTGCCTCTCAGCTGAGTGACCTTGCGCGGGTCATTGAACCTCTCTGAACCTCAGTTTCTTCTTCTGTAAGATGGGGATGGATCGTACCCACCTTATGGAACTGGTGGGGATTCCTGGAAGCAGGGCTGGGATCAAGGGGAGGTGAGGTCAGGCAAATGCAGGGTTGGATCCTGCCTTTATTTAAAATGTGGGCTTAAAATAAGTTTTGTGCCTCAAGGAATTTTTTGCATTAATTTTTTTTCAAGCATTGCATTACAGTGTTATTTATTTTGGTGACTGAGTTTTTTGGTGCCCTTCCCCTTTAAATTTTACACCCAAGTTGGTTGCCTCTCTTGCCTCTCCCAGACCCTAGCCTGCCTGGAAATAATGTGCATACAGCGCTTAGGGAGGGACCTGGCACAAGGAAAGTGTTTAAAGACATTAGCTATTTTTGTAGGCAGAATTAGGAAGGTTTGAGATAAATGGGGAATCTCAGGATCTTGCCCTCAGGATCAAGGCTTGGAGTGGGCAAGGGGCTTGCCCACACCCACCTTAGGGTCAGAGACCGAGCTAGAACTCAAGACCCCCAACCCTTAAATTCTCGCCTGTCACAGGCCCATCTACATGCTCCCCTGTCTTAGGAAACATGGCAGGGCTGGTTTCGAAGGTCCCTGGATGGCACAAACCGTTTGCATGTGACTACTAACTTAACGAACAGTTGGTAGTTCGAACTCACCCGGTGGCACAGTAGCAGAAAGTGTTGTCAGTTAGCTTCCATAAAGATTGGTGGTGGTGGTGTTAGGTGCTGTACAGTTGATTTTGACTCACAGAGACCCCATGTGACAGTAGAACTGCCCTTGTACGCTGTGACCTTTATGGGAGCAGATTGCCAGGTCTTTATCACAGTTAAGAAAACCCCATGGAACAGTTCTGTTATGTCACACATGGGGTCGCCATGAGTTGGAATTGACTCAGTGGCAATGAGTTTGAGTTGTTTTTTGGCCCGTTTTCTTTCCATGAGTGTTTGTTAACGTCAGCCCTGTGCCGGGACTGCAGTAATGACAGAGCCCCCCCTTTCCTCTCCCATTTGTACGCAGTCCTGATATTTGCAAGGTCTGTGATGTTGATACATTGCAATGAGTTGTTTGGATCAAAACCTGCGTCATGGTTGATCCTAATTCATACAAAACCAGGGACTTTATCACATCGCTTGGAGAGAATTGGTCTCTTGCCACCTCTTGGAGTCCAATACCTGTATTTAGAGCTTCCGACATTCAGGAGTTGCTGGGTGGTGCAAATGGTTAAGTACTCAACCGGTAACCAAAAGATAGGAGGTTCACATCCACCCAGAGGCACCTCGGGAGAACGTCCCGGTGATCTACTTACACTGAAAACCATATGGAGCACAGTTCTACTCCCTATGAGTCAGAGTCAACTTGATGACAACTGGTTGGGTGTTTTCGTTTTGACATTTTCAGAACTGAGCACACATTCTTGGAGTGTTTGGGGAGCCGTGCTGGTTAAGTATTCAGCGGTTTTCAGCAGAAGGGTGTAGGGAGCTGAGGCCTCACTGCTCTGAACAGAGATGGTTGTTGTTGTTGTTGGGTGCTGTTGAGTTGATTCCAATTCTAAGTGACCACGGGTGACAGAGTAGAACTGTCAGAGCAGAAAACCGTAGGGTCTTCTTGGCTGTAATCTTTACAAGAGCAGGTCACCAGGCCTTTCTCCTGTGGAGCCGCTGGGTGGGTTTGAACTACTAACCACCTTTCAGTTAGCAGCTGAGGATTTAACCATTGCGCCACCAGTGCTCTTTCCTTGCCGCTGTGAAAATAGATCACTGGCTATAGAATCATGTAGCAGACAGGTATATTTTAGGCTGCTTTGTTATCAGTCAAAAGTCTCCATTGTGTGACACTGTTGAGAGAGTCAGAAATAGATTTTGCTTCTGATTTGTTCCCCAAGACCCTGTTGTCCACTTGCGTCCCTCTTTGTCCTAGCATCGACACTCCCGGGGTCATCAGACGCGTGTCTCAGCTGTTTCATGAGCACCCTGACCTCATCGTTGGATTCAACGCATTCCTTCCCCTCGGATACAGGATAGACATCCCCAAGAATGGCAAGTTAAACATACAGTCGCCGCTGACTAGCCAGGTAGGCTGCCACGGGTTCAGTTACCTGGGTGTTCGTGCTGTGCGTCCTGGGACCTGGGCGCGGTGGCACATTTCTTTGCCTGAAGCCCTGTGAGATCCGGTCTTTTTAAAGACAGACTGCTAATCATTTCTGGCACAAATCAAAGTAGATCAAAATGCCTACACAACAGCGCCGGCATCTCAGATGGGTCTGCTTGGAGGGTTTAAATCACATGGGTCAAGGAGGCCTGTTCCTAACCCAGAATTTTCCTCGAAGTCAGAATAACTACATCCTGTGATCTCATTTATGTGAAATACCTAGAATGGGCGTATTATATTGTTAGTTGCTGTCCAGTTGACTCTGACTCATGGTGACCTCGTGTGTCAGAGTAGAACTGCTCCATAGAGTTTTCAAGGCTGTGACCTTTTGGAAGCAGATTGCCATCCTTGTTTTCTGAGACACCGCTGGGGGGGTTCGAACTGCCAGCCTTTTGGCCAGTAGTCAAGCGCTTAACTGTTTGGGCCACCCAGGGACCCCCAAGGCCTATGATTAATAGTGGTGAGCAGGGGCAGGAGGAAGAGGCAGGGGAGCCATTGTTTAGGAAGCAGTGAGTTTCAGTCTACGAGGATAGAAAGTTTGGCAACAGATAATGGTGATGGCTGCCCAGCATGATGGAGTTGGTGCCACTGAATTGTACATGTGGAAAACGTTAAATTGGCAAGTGTTGTGTGACTTGAATTTTTACAAAAATTAAAAATCACGGCATCAGCAGTAGCAAAGATCTCAGCAAGAGGCTTTTCCTGGGAGTGTTCCGGTAGGCCCGTCTGCGTACCTGTCTGTGTCTGACTGATTGTGGTGCTGCCGATAAAGAAAAGTGCTTGACATGAGCGTGTGAAGGGCTGTTTTCATTGTGTTTTATTTCAGTGCTGACAGGACATTGGCTCAGATCAGCCTTTCCTCCTGCCCCCGACTCGCGGCTTCCTGGTGGTGTTTCTCTGGTGACAGGCAGCTGCCTCCTCTTTTTCTGTGACCCCTTCTTGTTTGAGCTCACCACGATGTTGTTGTTGTTAGTTGCCATCAAGTCAATTCCAACTCATGACGACCCCATGTGTTACAGAGTGGAATTGCTCCGTAGGGTTTTCTTGGCTGTAATCTTTACAGAAGCAGATCTCCAGGCTGCTCTTCCACGGTGCCACTAGGTGGGTTCAAACCGCTAACCATTAGGTTAGGAGTTGAGTGCAAAGCATTTGCCACCCAGGAACCTAAGCTCACCAGACCCTCTGAGAAAAAGAAACCTTACCTGAGCTTTATGTTTGTGAAGTAATCCTTGTATTTTTCTCTGAGTCGGAGTTTCTCAGCCTTGGAACTGTTGACAAAGAAAGACAGAACATCATTCCTTGCTGTGGGGGCCAACTAGCACACTGTGATATTGAGCAGTATTCCTGCCCTCCACCCACTCAACGCCAGTAAACCAAACCAAACCTGTTGCTGTCGAGTCGGTTCTGACTTAGAGCAACCCCATGTGTGTCAGAGGCGCAGTGCTCCATAGAATGTTCTTGGCTGTAATCGTTACAGAAGCAGGTCTTCAGGCCTTTCTTCCTTTGAGCTGCTGGGTGGGATCAAACCGCTAACTTTTAGTTTAGCAGCCAAGTGCTTAACCATTGCACCACTAGGGTTCCTTAGGAAGTGATATCGCCTTGCCCAACACTGACACGGCTTTAGATGTGATGAACTGCCCTCACATACATTACTGCAAGTGAGCTTGACCCTGCCCTGACTGTTCTGCAGATTAATCCTGACAAGGCTTTTAGCAACTGGAGGCCTCCGCTCCACTTCTGGATCCAGGAGCTCCATTTGAATACATAAATGGTGGCTCTTCGGAGCTGGCACCCATGTGCTCCTGGCTTTGTTTTGAACATGGAGATGAACCCTGGGCTTTACGGGACAACGTGCTGATGGCAGGGCTTGCCTCACGAAGAGAAAAAGCAGAATCTACCCACCAGGCCCTGAGGAGGGAGGCTGACCATTGCCACAGCGCCTGCCTCTCACTGTTCTTTTTCTGAGTCCTGTCTCCTCAGTTCACAGGACATTTGGCAAGCCCCTCCATTGAAAGAAACACCTATGCAGTGCCTCCTGCAGCTGATTTTTACCTTCCCTGCTCAAATCCTCTGGAGTTCCTGGGTAGAGCAAACAGTTAAGTGCTCAGCTACTAACCTAAAAGGTTGGCTGTTCGAACCTACCCAGAGGCACCATGGAAGAAAGGCCTGGTGGTCTGCTTCCATAAAGATCATAGCCAAGAACCCTCTATGGAGCACAGTTCTGCTTGGTAACACCTGAGGTCACCATGAGTCAGAACCGACTCAGCAGCAACTGGTTTGGTGTTTTGTTTCTTTTTTTTTTTTTTTACCTCAAATCCTAGGGGCGGGGACTGCAGGGGATGGAGGCGCTGATTCCTCAATTCAGGGCAGTTCTGCCCCCAGGGTACACCTGACAATGTCTGGAGACTGTTCAAGTTGTCACGTCTAGGGAGACGTTACTGGCGTCAAGAAAACCCTATGGAGCAGTTCTACCTTGTAACCCCATGGGTTTGCCATGAATCAAAATCGATGGAAACGGGTTTGGCTTAGAAGCCCCTGGGTGGCGCAAATGGAGAAAAGACCAAGCGATCTGCTTTCGTAAAGATTACAGCCAAGAAAACTCTATGAGGCAGTTCTACTCTGTTACATGGGGTTGCCGAGTCAGAATTGACTCAATGGCACACAACAACATCATATAACTTGCTAAGAAAGATCAGGAGTCAGAAGACCACAATTGATCTCCATGTGCAGGAACCACCTTCCCTTGCTCCTGACTGCTGGGATGACTTGCTGGGAGCTGGGACCTGGCAGGAACGCACGGTGATATTGGGAGATGATACTTGCTTTAGTAGCCACAGGCCTTACCTGTCCACACCTCAGAGGGCTGGTGTACGGAGGTGAGACCAGATGCAATCTAGTCTCCCTCCAGGTGGCTTAGATGACAGTGGTTGTTGTGGACTGAATTGTGTCCCCTAAAAATATGTTTTGGAATCCTAATCCCTACACTCGTGGATGTAATCCCATTTGGGAATCGGGTTTCTTTGTTATGTTAACGGACCATGTCAGTGCAGGGTGAGTCTTAAACCTAATTACCATTGAACTATAAAAAGAGCAGGTTAGACAGAAGCAAGCAAGCACAAACGGGCAAAGATAGATGCCATGTGGATTGACAAGGAACACCGAGAAGAACACTGGAGAAGCTGAGACAGGGATCTTCCCCGAGACCTGACAGAGAGCCTTCTCCTGGAGCCGGCCGCCTGGAATTCAGGCTTCAGTCTCCTGAGCTGTGAGAAAAGAAATTTCTGTTTGTTAAAGCCGTCCACTTGTGGTATTTCTGTTACAGCAGCTGTAGAGAACTGAAACAATAGTCCATTGCCATGAAGAAAGGCTTTATGAGAGTCCTTATTAGATAGCTACTCCAGCAAGGCTCTGGAATCTTCCCCCAGCCTGGAGGCAGCCATTTCTAGCAAGGGTGCTTACATCTGCAGTCAGAGCGGGGCTTTCCCTCATGGCAGCTCTGCTGCGAGCCGACTCGATGGCAGGTGGTGGTACGGACCTGGCCTGGTTTCCTGGCCTGCGTCTCAGCAGCCCGGTTGTCACCCGCGTGGCTTCATCACAGGCACCAACGAGGTGTCTCTCCAGTTTCCTGGACTCTCTGAGTCCACAGCCACCCGAACACCTGTGATGCTCCCACTTGGAAAGGCTCGTGTGATTTGCTTATTGATTTTTCTAGTGTGGCTGTTCCAAAGCAGAGCTTTGATTTTTTTTTTTTTAATTCATTTCTTTATAAATCTTGTTAATTACCAAGGAAAGAGTGGCTCTTAGGTGCTGGGGAAGATGAATAAGAGGATCCCCGCCTTTGAGGAGCCTTCAGTGCAGAACTTTCTGACCGTGGCACTGTAGACTTTTGGTTTGGGATCATTCTCTGGAGTGGGGACCATCCTGTTCATTGTAGGGTGTTGAGCAACATCCCTGGTCTCGATGCCAGTAGCACCCCCCAGACATGACAACCACGGATGTTTCCAGCGTTCCCTAAGGCACAATTTCCCCCAGGTGAAGACCCGTGGTCTAGTGTACTGGGGAAGATGGACAGACGTGTGTTGTATGTGAGCAGTGTTGCCAGCAGAGGATCGGGGACGTGGAGGGAGGAGCCACCTCTTGGCTGGGCCTGCGATAGAGGAAGGGCTCTGCTCATGACCTTGCAGGTCAGTGTCATTTTGGATCTGGTCATTTGGGCCACAGAGAGCCCTGCTTCCCACCTCAGTCATCCTCATACCATCCTGTCTGTAAGCTGGAAAAGGAATGAAAACCTCTTGTTTCTCACTTGTTGCCATCTCCCAGCAGACTGCAAGTGCATCAGGTCTGCAGGACCCTCTTCTGTCGTGTTCATGGCTGTGTCCCTGTTCCCGGGACAGTGCCAGGGTGCTGCACACGATTGTGGGACAGGAGACCAGGTGTTGGCAGCATTGCTCCTGGATCCCCCTCAGGGCAGTCTGTCTCTGGGAGCCGCCCCTTGATGGTGAGCTGGCTTATCCACTGTGAAGACACAGATGAGCTTTTTGGTTAAGCGCTCAATTGTTAGCCAAAGATGGGCGGTTCAGAGCCACCCAGAGGCACTGCAGAAGACAGGCCTTCTGAAAGGCCACAGCCTGGAAGGTCCTATGGAGCGCAATTCTACTCTGCACACATGGCGTCGCCAGGAATTGGAGTTGACTCCACGACATCCAACAACAAGAGTGTAGCTCACAGCATAAAAGGGTCCCATTTATATTCAAACTCACGGTGACCCCAGGTGGTACAGAGTAGAAGTGCTCCATAGGGTTTTCTTGGCTATAATCTTTATGGAAGCAGATCACCAGGCCTTTCTTCCACGGTGCCACTGGTTGGGTTTGAACCACCAATCTTTTCAGTGCCATGAGTTGAAATCGACTCAACAGCAGCTGGTTTGATTTGATTACATTCAAAGTGAGGCCCAACATCTTCTCTCCGGGGAGGATCATTTGGAAATTCTGTCAGTCCCTGGATACGTCTGTTCTCCCATCTGCATCTCGTACTCTTGCGTAGCATGCCGGCCACGTGTGCTGCACCAGGCCCTGGGTGAAGCAGACTCTCTGCTCAAGGACGTGCACAGCCAGGTGGGGGCTGGGATGAGGAGCAGATGAGCAGATATGAAAGGAGTGCAGGAGCTCAGTCTTGTAAACACAGACTCGGGATGGCCTGGGGAGGCGCCTGGGGTGGCGCCTGGGGCAGGCATGCAGGGAGGGCGAAGCCAGGCCTGTGTCTTGGGCAGAGGATCCCTGTGGGGTTGCAGAGGACTAGGGGGGATGAGCCAGGAGATCACAGGGCCAGGGAGGAGGGTTGAGGGAACTATGGAGGGTTTCGGAAAGGGCCCCTGTCGCTGCTGTGCCGAGAACAGGGACAGAGAGGAAGCCAGGGTCCAGGGAGGGTGGGGTGCAGGCAGAGAGGAGAAAGGACAGTTGTTCCAGAAGGTTTAGAGAGAGCTAGGCAAACTGCTGCCCACGGGCCAATGCTTGCCTGGCTTTGTAGGGTCAGCGGCTTTGTTTTTTCAATGATTATGCTAAAAAAAATTTCTTTTAATTTAGATAAAATACACCATTATGGCCATTTTAAAGTGTACAATCCAGTGGGTTTTAGTCCATTCACAATGTTGCAGCTACCACCTCTATCTCATTCCAGAACATTCTCATCACCCTAAACAGAAACTCTGTACCCATTGGCAGTCATTCCTCATTCTTCTCTCCCTTAGATCTTGGTAACCATGAATCTGCTTTTTGTCTCTGTATTTGTCTCTTCTTCATATTTCATATAAGTAGGATCATACAGTATCTGTGTTTTTGTGACTGGCTTCTCACTGAGCATAAAGTTTTCAAGGTTCAGCCACATCATAACATCTATTAGGACTTCATTCCTCTTTATAGCTGAATAATATCCCATTGTGTGGATAGAACACATTGTATTTATCCATTTGTCTATTGATGGGCACTTGGGTTGTTTTCACCTTTTGGTTATTGTGAGTAATGCTGCAGTGGACCCTGGTGTGCAACTATTGTTTGAGTCCCTATTCTCATTAGTCTTGGATGGATACCCAGGAGTGGAATTGCCAGGTCATATGGTAGTTGTATGTTTAACTTTTTGAGGAACCACCAGACTGTTTTCCACAGCGAGTGTAGCATTTTATATTCCCACTAGCAGTGGATGAGGGTTCCCATTTCTCCACATCCTCGACAACACTTGTTTCTGTGTTTTTTTCTTTTTATAGCTATCCTGGTGGGCGTGAAGTAGAATCTCATTGTGTCCATGGTTACTTCTTAAGCAGTTCTATAAGTACCTACCTGATACCTCACTTTTGCCTCTCAGCCTGCCAAGCTGAAGCTCTTTACTTTCTGCCTGTTTAAGAAAAATGTGCCAAACCCTGGTCTCAGGGTGCTTCTCAGTCTTGTCACCGTGGCTCACTCAGGGGATCTGGAGGGACATGTGGAGCTCTGAGATGCGTTCTCCGAGTGATCCAGCTCCACCGCTCCTGTGACAGCAGAGCCTCCTCTGGGGAAAACTTGGTTCCAAGGCTGCCTCCCTCCCTGCCCTGCTCCCCACCCCCCAGACCCTTGCGCACTGAAGGAACACCAGTGCAGACCCCTGGAGCCTCAGTGTCATGGGGTGACAAAAAGGTACATCAACATCCTAGCCCCTGCACCTGTGAGTGTGGCCTAGTTTGGACATAGGGTTTTTGTCAGTGTTACCAGTTAAGTTCTCATGAGGTCATCCTGGAATAGGGTGAGGCCTAATCCTAATCCCTTCTGAGTGGTGTCTTATAAAAGGAGAGAATAGACATGGAGACAGTCACACACTCAAGGGGAAGACAGATGCCATGCGATGACAGAGGCAGATGCATCCACAAGCAGCAAAGGAACACGAGGGATTGCCTGCAGCCACCAAAAGCTGGGAGAGAGTCTGGAACAGTTCCTTTCTCAGAGCCCCCAGAAGGAATCACCACAGCTGAGATCCCAGTTCGGACTTGTAGCCTCCAAAACTGTGAGACAGTGACTTTCTGTTCTTACAAGCCACCCACGTTGTGGGATTTTATTACGGCAGCACCAGGAGACTAAGACGCTAGGCATGATAATTAGCAGGAGGATCTCCAGAAAGTCCCAGAATGGATTCTACCACTGAGGAGAAATGCCTGGCGTGGAGACTTTGGCTGCTTGGGGGTCTTTGAATCTCTGCTTCCTTGGCTCAGACTGTCCAGAGGCACCTTAGAAGCCATCTGGGCAATAATTTCGCACAGCCCCGACTGAGCTCAGCTGTGTCATACTGGCCTCTGCGATGGCACGTGCTGGCGTCTGGGTGGAGCAAGGTGGCAGGTCTCCCAGCTCAGTGGATCTTCCTTGGCAGAAGGAGCAGATGCTCTACTGGGCCACGGGGAGGAAAGAGAATAGGACTCCGTGTGTCCAACATCTCGTCACCCACAGTGTGCATGACGCCCTGCTCCCTTCCAGGCACCATCGCAGGCAGAGAGCAATAGCACAGCCTACCCTCGCAGGCTTTGCATTCTCATCAGGGGGAAAGACAACAGATTAAATGAACAAAACGTGTCACATGTACAGAGACAGTAAGTGCAGTGGAGAAAAACAGAGCAAGGGTGGGGTGGGGAGTGCTGGGAGAGTGGGGTAGTTGTACCTTCTGGATGTTCTGGAAGGCTGCCGGAGAAGGTGACCTTCAAGTGAAGACCTGAAGCTAAGCAGGGAGGGGTCCTGATGCTGCAGATCAGGCACTGGGCACTGAGGACAGCGCAGCCCGTGGCCTGGTGGGGGTGGGGGCTGTATTCGGAGAATCTTGTCCATCATTCCAGTTCCGAGACGGCAAATGACACCTTCTACGGGGTGGTGGGTCCTGTCCTGCCTTGAGGTGGAGTTCCAGGTGCACAGGAGAAAGGCATGTGTTCCTTTTTGTGCTTAATTTTTTACTAGTAGTAACAGGAAGGAGTCCCTGGGTGGCGCAGACAGTTAAGCGCTGAACTACTAGCCGAAAGGTTGGAGGTTTGAGTCCACCTAGCGGTGCCTCAGAAGAAAGGCCTGGTGATCTTGTGAAAGATCACGCCTTGAAAACCCTATGGAGCAGTTCTACTCTGTACACATGGAGTCACCATAAGTCAGAATTGACAGCAACTAACAATAGTACAAGTGACAGGAAAGTGCATAGGCAAAGGACATGCCTGGGTGCTCAAGACCATCTCTTTGCTCTCAGGTGACTGACTTTTGCTGCTTCCTCCATTAAGAAGACCACCTTGTCCCAGTGAGTCCGGGATCAGCACTTAAAGCCCCACGTCCTAGGAACCACCATGGTCCAGGGCAACCTGGACAGTGGGTCCCCGAACATCCAGGGTCACTATTTTATAAAAAGCTGGTTGGTGTGAATCAACCCCAACTCGTGGCAACCCAGTGTGTGTGTCAGAGTAGAGCTGTGCTCCATAGGGTTTTCAGTGAGTGGTTGTTCAGGAATAGATCACCAGGCCTTTCTACCAAGGCGGCTCTGGGTGGACTTGAACCACCAGCTTTTCGGTTAGCAGCTGAGTGTGTTCCCATTTGTACCACCCAGGGACTTCCATCATTTTAATACATCGCAGCTCTTCCCAGTGCTGCTGAAAGCAGGTGGTTTCACACCTGCACACAGACCTGCTGAAATCGGATCACAAACAACATGGAAGACTTTTTTTATAAACAACTCAAAACATAGCTCTGGAAGGGAGTCCACATCCACTTTTTGTACATGTTCCAGTTGCCAGTTTTTGAAAGTATAGAGAATTCATTAAACGTTCGTGTCCTTTCTATAGCTGAGGAAGGACATGGTAGAGGGGCACTAACGAGAGCTGCCCGGGAACGTGCAACAGCTCAGGATGCTGGACGGGGGAGTCTGTTGTTGTGTTCCATGTACATGCCCAACCTTCCTCCCCCACCTCCAGGCCCCCAAAACCAAAAAACCAAACCCATTGCCGTCAAGTTGATTCCGACTCATAGTGACTCTATGGGACAGGGTAGAACTGCCCCATAGTGTTTCCAAGGAGTGGCTGGTGGATTTGAACTGCTGACCTTTTGGTTAGCAGCCTGAGCTGTTAACCACTGCACCACCAGGGCTCCCAGAAGCTACTAATAAAAGCTGTGCATAACATTTTGTCTGTTCTCGTACAGACAGCGGCCCCGGGCTGGTGTATTTCACAGTCTGTCCCCAGTGTTGGGCCTGAAAGTAACTTGTTACTTTGTTCTCAGGAGAACTCACACAACCATAGCGACTATGCGGACGACTTCAAGCAGCAGGCACTCTATAAGGAGGACAAACCCCAGGTACCCCTGGAGTCAGATTCCGTGGAGTTCAACAACGCCATCAGCTACGTGAACAAGATCAAGACCCGTTTCCTTGACCACCCAGAGATCTACCGGTCATTCCTGGAAATACTGCACACTTACCAGGTAAGAGGCCGTGCCGTGTGCTTTTGTGTGTGTGTTTGAAGCATCCTTTGATACCACGTGCACTGAAGGTGTTCAGATTTTCTTGTCTCGATTCATGAAGTCATGTGAAATTCTGTTTTGCTTTTGTTTTAATTTGCCCCTTGAGGCACCTCTGTATTCAGAAGCAGGATTAGGAAACACAGGTTGTTATTAGCTGCCTTCCAGTCAGTCCCAACTCGTGGTGACCCCGTGCACAATGGAACAAAATGGTACCTGGTCTTGCACCATCCCCATGATCGACTGTGGATCAGGCTGTTGTGCTGCACATGGTTTTCATTGGCTGATTTTCATAAGCTGATCTGTAGGCGTTTCTTCCTAGCCTGTCTCAGTCTGGTAGCTCTGCTGAAACGTGTTCAGCATCTTAGCAACACACGAGCCTCCACTGACAGACAGGTGGTGACTGTGCATGAGGTGCATTGGTCAGGAGTCAAACCTGGGTCTCCCACATGGAAGGCAAGAGTTCTACCTCTGAACCACCACTGTGCCCTATGCCCAAGATAGGCACCTACTAAAACATCGTTAACTCCAGATGGGGACAGGTGTGTCTCCTAAAAACAGCAGCACTGGGTACACTTTCTCATTGTTGCCCACTGATTGTGCTTGGTTACTGACCAGAAGGTTAGAGGTTCGAGTCCACCCAGAAGTACCTTGGAAGAAAGGCCTGGCAATCTACTTCCAAAAAATCAGCCATTGAAAACCCTGTGGAGCACAGTTCTACTCTGCATGCATGGGGTCGCCATGAGTCAGGGTCGACTCAGTGGCATCTGGTTTATGGATCATTTGTATTATTCTCTGAATGGAGTGGTTTTTGCCCTTGTTTATTTGGTTTTCAAGTATACCAGTAACTCTTTTGGGGGGCAGCTGATCTTTTCCTTCCTAGATGAGTGTTATGTGTGTTAGTGTTTAAAAACTAGCTTGTATTTCCTGACAGTGCACTCTGCAGGAGGCGGGAAAGGGGATGCCAAGGGCTCTGCATTCTTTGATGCCAGTGGGTCAAGGGTTTCACTTGGTGGCTGTGGAGTGTGAAATAAGGAACTGGGAGGGCCCTGGCGTTGCTACCTCTTGCTCTGTCACATGCTTGAGTGCGATGTTGACTGGGACAGTTTTCAGCGGCTGACTTAAGTTCCACTCACTGCTTCCTGCCCAGCCTTGAGGTCGTCATCTTTTTCCTTACACTCCTTCCATTTAGCCCTCGGGTCTTGGTGATGTGGTCTGGAGGTCCTTTCCTCCCCCGCACTTCCTTCCCAGGCACAGCTCCAACTCCAGGCCCCCCACAGGCAGAATGTGCCTCTCCCCCTGGGATCCCAGAGCCTGGTTCCCCCCTGACCTTGTACTACCTTTGTACAGCCCAACTCCAGTGGCCCCACGATTCCTGTTCCCTGTGCTCATGAGTCCCCCAAGGCTGGGCCAGGTCCACTCTGTGCTCCAGTACAGGCACGCTGGGGGGCAGAATCAAGACACAGCAGCCCAGGATCATTCCCCATGGTGAGGGCCAAGGCCTAGGCACTTGGAGGTGTCGTTGAACAGTGGGCAGGCCATTGTAGGTGGCCGTCTGTGTAGGGGGAGCCTGCAAGGCTTCTAGGTTCTGTGAATTGCCCCTTGGCCCCCTCCAAGGTGGGTGCCCACGTGTCATGGTCGGTGCCTCAGTCCTGGGGTAACTTCTTGTTTTTCTTCATGCCCACTGGCAGAAGGAGCAGCTGAGCACAAAGGGCCGGCCATTCCGCGGCATGTCTGAGGAGGAGGTCTTCACTGAAGTGGCCAACCTCTTCCGGGGCCAGGAAGACCTGCTCTCTGAGTTTGGCCAGTTCCTGCCCGAGGCAAAGCGGTCCCTGGTGAGTACAGCACCCACCCCACAGGCCGAATGCTCCGCACAGTGACCATCCTTTGGTAGGAAGGCTGGGCCAGGCTTGGTGCCCGTGGGGACACCTCGGCTCTCCCCTCCGACGCCACAGGGGTGCAGACCCACGGACACCTCCTCATAGACTCCATGTGCCCCTCTGTCCAGATCAAGCCTGGGGTGTGGGGTGCTTGGGAGGCTGAGAGTGTCCTCCTGTGGAGACAGTGCGACTGGGCTGTTCGAGCTCCAGCACCACCTGCTGGGGCCACCAGCCTGTGGTGACTTGTGACCGTGACTCTGCGGGAAGGTGCAGGAGGGGGGTCAGGCCCGCCTTCCCCCACTGCTGGGTGGGGCCTGATACAGGGCTCCAGCAGGTTGGGTCTGGAGAGATGGGCAAGGGTGGGCTGATTAGGGGTGTGACTGGTAGGTGGGGGAGAACAGAGGTGGGTAAGAAGGGCCGTGTCTGGGGGTACTGCCCCTCAGTCCTTCCTCTCCTCCTCCCCCTCCCTTGCTGTGGCCAGGGGCCACCTTCCCCTCCCCTCTTTTTATCTTTCTTTTTCTATGAATATAGGCTTTTAAAAAAAATTGAGTTGAAATTCACGTAACATAAAATTGGCTAGTTTGAAATGAACAGTTCAGTGGTATGGAATGAATTGACAGTGTTGCATAACCACCATCTGGTTCCAGAACGTTCTCATCACTTCCAAAGGAGCCCCCATACTCATTAGCAGTTACTCCCCATCCCCCTGCTGCCAGCACCTGGCAAACTGATCTACTTTCTGTCTCTGGATTTGCCTGTTCTGGACATTTGATATACATGGAGCTATACACTATGTGGTCTCTTGTGTCTGGCTTCTTTCGGTTAGCATGTTTTTGAGGTTCGTCCACATTGTAGCGTGTGTCAGTGCTTCGTTCTTTTTTATGGCTGAGTAATATTCTGTTGGAGTCCTGGTAACACAATGGTTAAGAGCTTAGCTGCTAACCAAAAGGTCGGCAGTTCGAATCCACCAGCCCCTCCTTGGAAATCCTATGAGGTAGTTCTATTCTGTTCTGTAGGGTTGCTGTGAGTTGGAATCGACTTGACGGCAGTGGATTTGGTTTTGGTTTAATATTTCATTGCAGGTATATACCACATTTTGTTCATTTATTCATCTGTTGATTGACGCTTGGGCTGTTTCCACCCTTTGGCTATTGTGAGTAATGCTGCTCTGAAAATTGGTGTACAAGTTATCTGTTTGAGTCTCTGCTTTCAGTTCTTTTGGGAATATACCTAGGAGTGGAAATGCTGGGTGATATGGAACCCTGGTGGCACTGTGATTAAGAGCTCATCTGGTAACCAAAAAGGTCAGCAGTTTGAATCCACCAGCTGTTCCTTGGAAACCCTATGGGGCAGTTCTACTCTATCCTGTAGGGTCGCTATGAGTTGGAATTGACTCGACGGAAATGTGTTTTGTTTTGGCTTTTTATGGTAGTTCTATGTTCAACTTTTTGAGGAACTGCCAAATTATTTTCCACAGTGACTATGCCATTTTACATTCCCACCAGCATTGGACGAGGGTTCCAGTTTCTCCACAACCTCGCCAACACTTGTTTTTTTCCATTGTTTTTATTATAGCCATCCCAGTAGGTATGAAGTGATATCTCATTGTGGTTTTGATTTGCATTTCCCTAGTGATGTTGAGCATATTTTCAGGTGCTTCCTGGCTATAAAAATGGCGTGGGGACAGTGTCTGACCTCTCTCTTCACAAGGAAAACGGAGAATCAAGATCAACAGCCCAAGGCTGATTCCTATGAGGCAGAGGTCAGACATGCCTCCTCTCTCCACCATCTTTACCAATTCTGATACCAACCATCCCTCCCACAGCACTCTCTACTTCTCTGCTGGGTTCGATACTTCATTGCAATGGCCACACAGGACTCACAGACAGTACTTAAGATCATAGGGAAGTAACAGGTTACAGTTTAGGCTCAGGAACACTCAGGATACAGTTCCTCCATCAGGACAGCCCCTTTTCAGCTGTGCTTGCAAGCATGCCTCTCCCTGGCCCTAGGCCTCTGCCCTGCGCAGGCAAGTGTTACAAAGCTCTTTTAGCCCCTGCTGATAAGTCCCCAGAGGCACCCCAGGCGCTCAGCCTTCATGCTCTGTGGGCTGGGAACCCCACTGCTTGGTTTCCTGACAGTCACTCCTGCCACGACTTCTCACCATCTTCAGGGTTACAGCTAGCTCTCTATCTTGATCTCATGGTTCTAGGAGCTTCTCAGCTCAGGGATTCTGGGTCCAAAGAATGTGCTGTCTACTCCTGGCTGTTCTTCCTTGGTGGTAGTAGGAGTCTCTCTGCTCTGGAATTGGCTCTGTTTTAAGGCAAAACTGACCAGTCCCCTTGGTGGGCCACATTTACCCTGTTCGCACAGTCTCACCCAGTCACCTGGTGACAGTTACAAGACCATGGTGAGAAACACCACGCAAAATCGCACCGCACTGGCCCTGTCTTCTTTGGAGAAATGTCTATTCAGGTCCTTTGCCCATTTTTTAATTGAGTTGCTTGTCTTTTTTGTTATTAAGTTGTAAGAGTTTTTTATATACACAGATATTAGACCTTTATCAAGGAGCCCTGGTGTCACTGTGGTTAAGTGTTCAGCTGGTAACCAAAAGGTTGGCTGTTTGAACCCATCCAGTGGCTCCACAGGAGGAAAGACATAGAGATCTGCTCTCGTAAAGGTTACAGCCTAGGAAATCGTTTGGAGTAGTTCTGCCCTGTCTTATAGGGTCACTGTGAGTCAGAATCCAGTCACCGGCACATAACAACAATCAGATACATGATTTGCAAATGTTTTCTCCCATTGTGTAGATTGTCTCTTCATTTTCTTGATAATTTCCTTTAATACGTAAGAGTTTTTAATTTTGAGGAAGTCTGCTTTATCTGTTGTTGTTAGTTGTTGCCCATACTTTGGTGTCATATCTAAGAATCCATTACCTAATCCAGCGTCATGAAGATTTATTCCTATGCTTTCTTCTACGAGTTTTATAGTTTTAGCACTGACATTGAGGTGTTGGATCCATTTTGAGTTAATTTTCATGTACAGTGTGAGGTAGGGATCCAACTTGATTCTTTTGCATGTGGATGTCTGGTTGTTCCAGCTCCATTTGTTGAAGAGACTATTCTTTCCCCATTGAATGGACTTGGCCCCCTTGTTGAAAATCAGTTAACCATAGATGTGGGGGTTTATTTCTCAACTTTCTTCCATTGATCTGTATGTCTGTCCTTATGGCAGTACCATACTGTTTGATTACTGTAGCTTTGTAGTAAGCTTTTACATTGTGATGTGTGAGTCCTACTTTGTACTTTGCTTTCAAGATTGTTTTGGTTAACTGCGTTCCCTTGAAGCTCTCTATATGTAAAGTTTTGGCATCAGCTTTTCCACTTCTGCAAAAAGGCTGTTGGAATTTTAACAGGGATTGCATTGAATCTGTAAATCACTTTGGATCTGTGATCCATGACAGATGGGATGTTTTTCCATTTATTTAGGTCTTTAATTTCTTTCAGCAATATTTTGAAGTTTTCAATGTACAATTCTTGGTTAAATTTATTCTGGAGTATTTTATTCTTTCTGATGCTATTGTAAAAGAAATTATTTTCTTAATTTCCTTTTTGGATTGTTCATTGCAGGTATATAGAAACCAAGCTGATATTTGTGTGTTGACCTTGTAACCTGCCACTTTAATAAACTTTCTTATCAGCTCTAGTAGTTTTTTGTAGATTCTTTAGGACTTTCTAAATATAAGGTCATGTTAGCTGCAAATAGAGATCGTTTTACTTCTTCCTTTCCAACTTGGATGTGTTTTATATTTTTTTCTTCGCTAATTGGTGGCCAGAACTTCCAGAATTATGTTGAATAGAACTGGTGAGAGCAGATCTCCCCATCTTGCTCCTGATCTAAGAGGGAAAGCTCTCAGTCTTGCTGAGAGCTGTGATAAGTTTGACGGGAGCTGTGCATTTTCCATTGTTGTTGCTAGTTGCTGTTGTATCGGCTCTGACACACGGTGAGCTTGTGTATAACAGAACGAAATATTACCTGGTCCTGCACCATCCTCATGATTGGTGGTATATTTCAGTCTGTTGTTGTCCCCATGTCTCATTTCATCTCATGGAAGGTTTCCCTCGTTTCATTGACCTTCTACTTTTCCAAGCGTGATGTCCTTTTCTAGTGATTGGTCTTTCCTGATGACATGTCCAGAGTAAGGGAGTCAAAATCTCACAACCTTCTCTTCTACAGAACATTCTGGCTGTACTTCCTCCAAAACTGTTGTGTTCATTCTTCTGGCAGTTCATGGTATATTCAGTATTTTTGGCCAGCACCACAGTTTGAATGGTCAGTTCTCCTTCTGTCTTGCTTTTTCATTGTCCAGCTTTCACATGCATATGAGGTGATTGAAAAACCATGGCTTGGGGTCAGATTCATCTTAGTCGTCAAAGTGACATCTTTGCTTTTTAACCACTGTAAAGGACTTTTTTGCAACAGATTTTCCCAGTGTAATTTGTAATTTGATTTCTTAACTGCTGCTTCCATGGGTGTAGATTATTGATCCAAGCAGAATGAAGTCCTTGACAACTTCATTTCCTTCACCAATTCCATAAAAAAAAAAAAAACCCATTGCTGTCAAGCCGATTCCGACTGATAGCAACCCAATAAGACAGAGTAGAACTGCCCTCATAAGGTTTCCAAGGAGCGGCTGGTGGATCCTAACTGACAGCCTTTTGGTTAACAGCCAAATGCTTAACCACTGTGCCACCAGGACCCTTGATCAACCTGGTTTCCTTCTGTTCCTATTTGCTGAGTGCTCTGTTTCCTCTTTCCTTCTTCCTCTTTGTCCTGGTGAAGGCCTTGGGTGTGGGCACGCAAGAACTTCCCCAACTTCTTCTGAGCCACTGAGCCACTGCCTTTCTGGTGTCCTGTCTCTGAGTGACCATGTGGCGGTGGGTGGGGCTGCGGGGAGTTGGTGGAGGAGGCGCAAGGGAGGAGGATCTGGATGTGGGTAGGGGGTCATTAGAACTCTTGGTCAGATAGAGTGGACTTCAGGTGCATGTCTGCCTTGGTTTCTTAGCACTGCTATAACTGAAATACCATGGGTGGGTGGCTTTAACAAACAGAAATGTATGTTCTCACAGTTTAGGAGGCTAGAAGTCTGAATTCAGGGTGTGGGCTTTAGGGGAAGGCTTTCTCTCTCTCTTTTGGCCCTGGAGGAAGGTCCTTGTCCCTTTGAACTTCTGCTCCTGGGCAGTCTTCATGTGACTTGGCATCTCTTTTCCCCTATATCTCCTTCTTTTTTATTGCTTAATCTAGTCCTTTTATATCTCAAAAAAGATAGGCTCAAGACACACTCTACACTAATACTGTCTCATTAAAGTAACAAATAAAACCCATTTCCCAAATGGGATTATAACCATAGGTATAGGGTTTAGGATTTACAGTGCATGTTTTAGGGGATACAGTCCTTGGGTTTTCTCCCTCCCTAAATCCTCTCCCCCGTTGGCCTTGCCTCAAGCCTTTTCCAGCCCATCCAGGCCAGCGCCCCAAGGTGTCATCCCGTGGGGGGCCCTTCCTTGTGTGTTATCTAGGCACCCCTGAGGGGGGTCTCCCCCAGAAACACCTCTGAACTGAAAGCCAGAGACTGTGTGCTCACTGTAGGGCCGAGTCCTGGAGTCCAGGAGCCGTCACCCATCGTCTAACCACTAGAGCCTTGGGCGTTCTCACAGGCCTGGAGGCCTCGATGGCCAGAGCTACGTCCCCTCATGGACCTCGTCCCCTCTCCCTGGGGGTGCCTGGCCTGTGCTGAGTGCCCCAGAGAGGGCAGTAGCTGCCAGGCAGAAAATGCCAGCACAGGTCTTGGGGCTGGTCTTCTCACCCCCCACCCTCAGCTGTCTGCTTCAGGGGCCACAGGCCACCCCATCCCCAGGTGACCAAGTCCTTCCTTGGGGCCCCTCCAGTGCTGGGTGTCACCTGTTAGTGGGCGTCCCCACTGAGCCGAGCCCGGTCCCTCAGGGCCTACTTCACTGGTCCTCTCTCTAGCCTGGGATCTTCTGTTACCTTAAGTTCAGGATCCCACATTTTCTGTTTTGACCCCTTGCCCCTAAGTAATGCCCTCTGAGGTCCCGCCCTCTCAGCCAGCCTCCTCATCTGTGCCGCCCCTGCTTGTCTCAGATTCCTTGCTTGGCCCAGGGGCTGCCCAAGCTGAGCAGAAAGGCTGTGCCTCCCATCCCAGACCCTCTGTTGACCCCAAGGGCACAATGTCTTGGCTTCTGCATCTGTGGCAGCTCATGCCAAGGGCTTTCGCACATGTTAGAGGTTCAGGTCCACCCAGAAGCCCCTCAGAAGAAAGATCTGGCAATCTACTTCTAAAAAATCAGCCATCGAAAACCCTGTGGAGCACAGTTCTAGTCTGACACACTTGGGATCCCCGCGAGTTGGGGTGGACTCGACGGCAACAGGTTTGGGGTTTTTTTTTCGTTATAGGTGAGGCCCTGCCCACCTGAGGTCCCCGGCTGCCCTCTCTCTCCTGTGCCCCTTGGAACCTTTTCCAACCACTGTGTCCTCTTAGCACTGTGGTGTTGGGGACCCGGGGAGCCTTGTCACCCTGTGGTGGGCATGGACGTCTTGTGAGCTGGCACTCCCCATGCTCAGATGCACCGAGACCATCACTCAGGCCCAGCATGTCTGTGACACTGACCCCATGTCTGTGCTCAGTTCACAGGAAACGGGCCGTGTGGGATGAATAGCGCCCCAAAGGGCGAGCCTGAGAAGATTCCAGAACACAGCAAGAAGCGTGCCCGGCCCTCTCTGCTCCGCCCTGTGTCCGGGCCGGCCAAGGTAGGTGTCAGCCATGTGAAGATGGCTGCCTGCTGCAGACCCCACCACCCAGCCTGCTGTCACCAGCCCGGGGACCCTTGTGGCAGGGGCCTGGGGAACCCTTGTGGCGGGGTCCTGGAGTCTGGTCTGGTCTGGCCCACAATTTCCCAGCTGAATGACCTCGGGAGGTCGGTGGCTCACGGTGGCCGCTCACTGCCCTGCTCTCCTGATATTGGCTTCAGGGAGGAGGGGTTAAGAGGAGACAGACGTCCCACCCAGTTTGCCCCAGGATTCCAGCACGGCCACAGAGTACGTTTGTGCTGGTTGGTCACTGCACAGGGTGCCCAACTCCAGCCATGCCCGGCTCACCCTGGTGCTCTGGGTGGGGCCGTCATGCCCAGGGGTGCCCGTAGAAAATTGAGGCGATTTATCTGCTAATTAGGGGGCACGGGTCATAAAGACCAGAGGACTACAGCTGAGCTCCAGGTGGCTGAGCGCCTGGCCCTGGGGCGCCTGCTTGTAGGGACAGCACCAGCCTCTCCCCCTGCCCTGTTTCCTCCTCCCCGCAGGGTGGAGGATCTGAGAGGGAGTGGGCGATCACCATGTGGGCACCTGACTGACCTCCATGGGGGTATGGGCGAGGAAGGCACCGTGCAGTCGTGGGTGGCCCTGACTTCACAGTAGGGTGGTACTGTGCAGTTGTGGGGGGTCCCAGTCTTCAAAGTGAGGATCGCCATGCAGTGATG